GGGGTTACTCTGCCCTCTTGCTTTTTGCTATTTACTTGTACAAGGTAAGCCCCTTTATTTATTAAGCCAGCAACTTCTTATGAGAAGCTGGGTCTTTCTCTTTTGGATGTTGGGGTTTATTTGTCCTATAACCTTCCTTTACAGATTATCATATGCTTAATTGGTTTCCCAAGAGTGGGTGAAGGTGTTTGTTACTAGGAAAAATATATACTGGCCTTATTACACATATCGAGTGGGAAGCGAGTAGTGTGTTACTGACTGGAATATAGCAGTGTAAAAATGTTTTGTAACTAGTACATACAGCAATATAGCACCATACTGTCTATGCATGTTATCCTAGTTTGGCAGTTAGGCCTAATTTTTATTAATATCTTTGTTTGCATATCAGACATTATTTTAGGGTTCAGTGTCTGCCCCTTCTGTCTTGTTGGGATCCCCTCACTGGTCGGCCTCTAGCAGGCTCTGCTGGGCATTTGCAGCCGCCACCTTTGTGCAAATGTACGTATTTTGATTATTTGTACTTACCTGTATTTGTAGTTAAAATATGTGCTGTATTGATATGTCTATGTTGTAGAAATTCTATGCAAGTTATGTTGTCCAGTTTATCATTGTATCTCTCATTTATTTAGAAATCTTCTCATAGCGACAAAATCGCAAAACATGTTGAGCTAATACCACTTACACATCAAGATTACCCTTAATTTAGCAATTGCCGACTTATGGCATATGCACAACTTTTCTTTGATGGTATTTGAATCAGTACTGATCATTTTATATGTGACATTGTTATGCGACATTTTGTAAGCAGTTTTAAACGTGTATGTTTAATAAAGTGCTTAAACATTTTACTGAGTTTATGTAGTGCCTTTAAAGTCCATGGTTTATGCTATATTTCTATTTAGTCAATATGAAGGATGAGGCACTATAGGACTTTGGTTATGCACCCACAGTAACCACTCTGTGTTGGTAGCATTTATTTTCACTGTTGTTGAATAAAGTATACCTAATAATGTACAGATTGCTCTGAATTGGTTGAATGATAATATAGTCTTTTGCTTCCAACGACTATTGGTGGCACGCAAAACAAGTCTGCAAGGAAGCACAAAAAAAGGGTGCAGTAAGGAACAGATCCACCAAATCCCAAATCATCAGAGTAAAGAACAAACAGCCTATGAGTCAGAAGGCCAAGACCTCATTTGGTGGATCTGTCAGTCCTTGTCTGGTGACTTACATCTGACCACTCTTGCCCTCTTTAGAAATCATGTATTTAACATTACAATGGAAATGTGTATGTAATAAGTTGATCATCTTTTTTAACCAAATGTCTATTTCAATATATGTATGATCCTATTGCTGCATTAAAGTCCCACTGGGGGTTCTTTGGGTACATGCATTCATATAGGGACAAGAAGCCAGATACTTGTCACTTTTAGGTTTAGATGGCTTGAGGAAGGTTCGGTTGGGGTCCAAAGCAGTTGCCATTTTGCTCTGACAATATCATTATAAATGAATAAAAGAAGATTGAGTGCTGCAACTTCATTGATGATTTTTACAATACATATATAATCTTGTATGGATTCCAGCTGCTGGCACCTGTGAAAGGTAAGGACTGTAAGCTCCTTGACGGTAGGGACTGATGTGAATGTACAATATATGTAAAGTGCTGTATAAATTGTCAGATTTATGTAAATAATTGTTATAAATAAATATATTAAAAATGGAACCTAAAAAAGTACAACACACAACTGACACATTATAGAGTTTACCTTTCATAAATCCAGGGGCAGCAATCAACGTTAAAAAAAATATAAAAATATATACCTTTTACAAATACCAATTCTTGAGTGACTTGAGTTGTCACAGGCCTGGACCAGTATAAGCATTTGTTTGCATTTGACCTGTTTGCGGTCTGCACTGTGCCGAGCTTAAAGTGCTACTAAACCCAGGACCCTGCGTTCACTATATTTGGTCTTCCACAGTACACAGAACATGGAAATGCAATTAATTTAGTAAATATAAACTGCTAAATTCTTTTTCTCATCAGCAGTATAAAGTAGTCTTGTAATTTCCATCAGTGTCCAGCCAAGCACTGGTTAAAGCTTGTAGGAGGAGTTTTTCATTTTGCTCTAGGAGGATGTAGAGCCCCTGATCTCTGTCTGGACACCGCTTGTTGGCCCTGTGCTGATCACATGCACCCTCCCAAGCAAAAAAAAAAAAAAAAAAACCTCTCTAGCAATACACACCAAACTGAATATGTGTAGAGTGACTCCACACGGTATATCTTATCAGGAGATAAGAGGGGACACTCGAAGAAGGGGAGGATCAGAGAAGTCAGGATCAAACAGTGTTTTTACATAATGCACAGGATTAACCCCTTAGGTTCCACAGTGAGTATAACAAGCATGCTTTACTGTATATACAGACTGATTTGACTGGAGTGGGCTTAGTAACACTTTAACGGTTGTCAACTAGGACTAAGAACAACAAAGTAACTGCATATACTTGTTTGATTAAGTGCCAGAAGCCATAAATGATATCTACATACCCAATATATAGATATAGACCTACAGCATATATTAACAGTGCAAGTTCTTGCCACTATGAAAAGGAAATAGAAATTAATCAGGGTTCAAACGGTATTGATTATGTACAGAGAAAACTATTTTACAGCTTTCTCCAGGTTTTGATATTCCCAGATTGGGTTTTGGAGTTTTAAAGGAGACTTTGAAGAATTTTCAGTGGGAAGACGTTTCTAATCAAGTGTCTACAGTGCATTGAAAAAATATTCATAGCTCTTGAAATTTTCCACATTTTGTCATGTTACAACCAAAAACTTAAATATATTTTATTGGGATTTTATGTGATGGACCAATACAAAGTGGCACATAATTATGAAGTGGAAGGAAAATGATAAATGGTTTTCAACATTTTTTTACAAATAAATATCTGAAATGTGTGGCATGTATTTGTATTTAGCCCCCTTTACTCTGATATCCCTAACTAAAATCTAGTGGAACCAATTGCCTTCAGAAGTAACCTAATTAGTAAATAGAGTCCACCTGTGTGTAATTTAAACTTAGTATACATTGAGCTGTTCTGTGAAGCCCTCAGAGGTTTGCTAGAGAACATTTGTAAACAAACAGCATCATGAAGACCACGGAACACACCAAACAGGTCAGGGATAAAGTTGTGGAGAAGTGTAAAGCAGGGTTAGGATATTAAAAAAATATCCCAAGCTTTGAACATCTCATGGAGCACTGTTCAATCCATCATCTGAAAATGGAAAGAGTACGGCACAACTGCAAACCTACCAAGACATGGCTGTCCACCTAAACTGACAGGCAGGCAAGGAGAGCATTATTTAGAGAAGCAGTCAAGAGGCCCATGGTAACTCTGGAGGAGATGCAGAGATCCACATCTCAGGTGGGAGAATCTGTCCACAGTACAACTATTAGTCGTGCACTCCACAAATCTGACCTTTATGGAAGAGTGGCAAGAAGAAAGCCATTGTTGAAAGAAAGCCATAAGAAATCCCATTTGCAGTTGTGAGAAGCCATGTGGGGGACAGAGCAAAAATGTGGAAGAAGGTGCTCTGGTCAGATGAGACCAAAATGTAACTTTCTGGCCTAAAAGCAAAATGTTATGTTTGGCAGAAAACGAACACTGAACATCACTCTGAACACACCATCCCCATCGTGAAACATGGTGGTGGTAGCAGCATCATGTTGTGGGGATGCTTTTCTTCAGCAAAGACAGGGAAGCTGGTCAGAGTTGATGGGAAGATGGATGGAACCAAATACAGAGCAATCTTAGAAGAAAACCTGTTAGAGTCTGCAAAAGACTTGAGACTGAGGTGTCCAGCAGGACAACGACCCTAAACATACAGCCAGAGCTACAAGGGAATGGTTTAGATCAAAGCATATTTATGTGTTAGAATGGCCCAGTCAAAGTCCAGACCTAAATCCAATTTAGAATGTGTGGCAAGACTTAAAAATTGCTGTTCATCCAATCTGACAGAGCTTGAGCTATTTTGTAAAGAAGAATGGGCAAAAATGTCACTCTGTAGAAATGCAAAGCTGGCAGAGACATCCCCAAAAATACTTGCAGCTGTAATTGCAGCAAAAGGTTGTTCTACAAAGTATTGACTCATGGGGGCTGAAAACAAATCCACACCACACTTTTCAGACATTTGTAAAAAAAATTTTGAAAACCACTTATTTTCCTTACACTTTGCAATTATATGCCACTTTGTGTTGGTCTATCACATAAAATCCCAATAAAATACATTTATGTTTTTGTTTGTAACATGTGGAAAATTACAAGGGGTGTGAATACTCTTTCAAGGCACTGTAGGTCTTGCATGAGAACAGCAAGCTGTAAGTACAGGTGCATACAGCCCTTATAATGAAGAACCTGACCACAGTTCAGGGCTCCTGCTAGAATACTAGTGTACTACACTCAAGAAACTGTATTCCATGCTGGAGAGTAGAGATTCCATGCTCTATGGAGGTCTCAGAGGAGTGGGAGAGCGTGGCGTGTCAGGAGATTCCTGGTCAAGAGAGCCAGGAGGGTGAGTGAACTGAGAAATGGACATGGGAACTCAGAGGCACCGAGTAAGATGGTCTGAGGGACCAGACTTCAAAGGCCAAGGTTTGGGGCCTAAGTGAGCCAGGTGACGTGGCACTGTTTTTGTTATTTGTTTTGATGGAAAAAGTCCCGTTTGGGAAACAGTTTACTACTCTTTCACTACATTTTTGTAAGTAAATTTAATTTACTGATTAAACTATGTAACTGCATAAATGTAAACATGATATAGCACGTGTTATGCTCCATGCATTATTCAACAGAATACCATCATATATATGTAAATGTAATTTTTTTGAACAGGAAAAACCCATTAACAGATTAACTGCATTTTCCAACCAACCATTTTTGTGCAACCAGCAGTCATAACTTCATTACAAATCGCCATGCACCACCTCTCCCATTCCATGTTATACCTGCTGAGATGGACTCTGACTGCTCCAGCATGCTCAGGAGTCTGCCTTTTCGTTCTGCTGTTTCCTGCCAGAGAAGCGCGGACATAGCTGTCAAAAACAGGTAACACTCATATAACCTGACAAATGTGTAGATATGGTGCTTAAATCAAATGAAATTATACCAATCATATTGGTTTCAAGCATAAAACTTATTGCTGCTGCAAATTCTTCACATCATTATGCTGATGTGGTTGCAGTGTGATGCCTGTTCAGTTAAATCCCTTGGACTGTTGTGTGATAGGTAGTGCTAGTAAAGAAAAGGCAAGGTCTTTCACAATTTACTGCAGATCATAAATTTGGTAAATAAGTTCATTCATTTATTTGAATTCAGCAGCTAAGACATTTAGAAGCACTTAACGGTCTGCTAAACTGTTGGATCCACTCTGGCTAAACTCATATTTAAATCACTTTAATTCATCCAAATGCAATTTTTAAGTTTAAAGTTCCCATTTACTAATCACTAACGTATGAACACTTACCTTAGAGCTCTTTAGCCTCTGGGTTCCCTGGGCCTCCAGTGTAGCAGATTGAAGACATTTGTCCACATGTGTTTGATAATCTTTTATTGGAACAAGTGATTTACACAGATAGCAGTTTTCAAGCCTACCCAGGAAGAGAGATTGGAAAATATAAGTCCACACACTCCACATAAAATGCAATAAATTAGTGTTGTGCGTGACATGGTGCCTGCAAGTTCCATGTTTTAGTCTTCAATTCGATCCCTGTGGATTCTAAACCCAGACTGGAGTTTCAACTCCTGGCCCTGCTGCAATTAAGCTCACGCCCTGTCATTCAATTACCAGACATTCTGTGGGTAGAGGTGTCTCTTAACAGATGGATTACCTGGCTGGTACTTAGTGTCAGAAAGAGGCAGTGCTTATTCTAGAGTTGAGCAGAAGCTGAAATCTTAAGTACAACCAGAACCTTGGATCCAAGGGGGCTTCAAAAGGCACACAGGGATTTAGTTTAAGACTAACACAGATACATGGGTGCATTGCAATGTGCAGCACTGAAAGTGTATGTCTGGGAAAAAATAAAGATCGCAACAGATCTAAAATTGCTAACAACTCTAATTTCAAACAATTGCAATACAGGCATATTTCCACATAGAAAACAGGCAGGACTAATACAACGGTTTGGAACTTTAGTTCAGCAGAGACAAGGTGCTCATGAAGTTACAAGATCACTAAACTTCTGGTAGGAGCAACATATATTATTTGGCATTTTAATTGTTTTTTAGAGGAACTGATAAAAGTCCAAGTATTGCAAAAGATGTACTGAATGTTTTTTTTTTTTTTTTAATTTGTCAGATGTACACTTTATGTACTGTTGCCACCTTAGAAACTTTTTATGCCAGGTCAGGTTCACTTTAATAAGAGTTTTGAGTAGAATGTTTATTTGTAAGAACGATCACTATAAAATCTTGAAATTGTTAAGTCTAATGCTTATCATACCTGTCTCTCCACCAAGACTTTACATTGTAATGCTATCAGTAGAAACATGTATTAATAAACAGGCAGGAGTTAATTCATGAATAATTATTACTTGAAAGTCAATTCATAAGCCACAGTTCATAAACTTGTGTCCTTTCTTGGCAAAATTAGATTAGAAGAGAAATCAGGGAAGCACTCGGTAAGAAGATCCATTATTAGTATGCAGCATTAACCGCACTAAGATCCTGGAATTCTTCAGCCTAAGCAACCTGCAAATACAGGCAAGATCCTCCCACCAAAGTACAAATGTCCTTTGATGTAGATGTATGACTGAGAAAAATATAGAAAAATCCTTCAGGATTTTCAATTTGCAAGTTAAACCTATCAGGGTGTGATAATGTAGCCCTAATTATAGTTTCCTCAAAACTACACACAAGAAAAAAAAATACTGCCCATCTCCAGTTAAAAAATGTAATGCAATTTATAATATTTAAAGTGATTAAATCTCCTAATTTTAAGCTGAAGTTTAGGTATGCCTTTTTCTGCGTAGTTACATTGATCAGCTTGGAAGTATGGATGTGTCATACCTAGCAGACCCCCATGGAAGCTGGAAATCACTGTAGTAGGCCCCACTTTTACAGTGATAACGGCTAGCTTCTGTATCCTGTGTGGAACAGCTGCCCTGCTGCATGGTAAACAAAGGGGGTTCCTCACTCAGCAAGAGAGCCATTTAGAGTACACTTTTCAATTTTCTTAATGAATGCAGAGCACTTTCTCATTACTCAAGGTGGGGATGCCAGCATTGATGTCACAATCTCTACCTCACCCACTCAGAGAATGCCTTGCATTCATTAGGAAAAATGCTCTGAATGTTGACCATGCTGAGCAAGTTGTGTTTACCAAGCAGTAGGGCTGTTCAGCACAAGACCCAGAAGCTAGTGTCAATTAGTGTAGTAGGGGTGCCTATTACAGTAATTTCCAGCTTCCACAAGAATTGGCCAGGTATGGTATATTCATATCAAGCTGGAACAATGGAACAATGTAAGCTGGAAAAGCCACACCTAAACTTCAGTTTTAAAAAAAAAAAAAAAAAAACATCAGATATGTTTTTATTACCACTAGTACAATTGCCTGAAATTTATTTTTTTTATTTACTTCCCATAAAAAATGTATATTACAAATTAGGATAAGAGTAGGAGGGCCAAGCACTTGGAGATAATCAGGCTCTACTGCTTTTCATGCAGCTGCTATCCTAACATGTTTCAGGCACTAGAAGCCGGGGAGAGAAATGTTTAGCAGTTCTCAGAAAGTGTATAACACAGGGATGGTATCACTGCATTGGTGACAAGGTGATATAGGAAACTGTAGGTTCTAAATAACCGCAGTAGTTTCTTGGGTATACAAAACAAAGTTTAACTGTATGAAACACAGGGGAACTAGAAATCTTTTGCAGGTATACCACATTAGAAGCTCAGCTTTATTTTTCCTGACAGCAAAAAAAGAAAAATCCATGGAATCTAAATTCTGCAATGCCGTACAGTGAATGTCAGTGATTTGTCACAATATATACATTGAGGCAAATTAAACTGACAACCAGAGTGAACCACGTGTATCCGTGTGTATATTATCTGTATCTCTGTCAGCAGCAAGAAGAAAGTATATTAAAATCCTTGAGACTGCCATAACAATATATTAACAGAAAACAGGAAGAAAAGTGAGCACATATGAGGCTTGTCGTGCTGGGTGAATTAGGGACACCTGTGTTTTGAATTTAAAAACTGTTATCTAGAAGAGTTAAGGGATCTGTATCTTAAATGCTTCAACCTTGATGTGCTCCACACAAAACATATTTCTGTAATGTAGAGATCAAGGCCTAAAGAATATTAAAGGACAACTCTAACGTTTTAAAAGAGTATATATCTTGATGGCCCTGAAATGGCAATTAGCTTTTTTAACCACTTCCCCACTTCCTGCCCAGGCCAATTTTCAGCTTTCAGAGGTGTTGCACTTAAATTTAAATTTTTATCACTTTTTTCACACAAATAGAGCTGTCTTTTGGTATTTACTTGCCGCTGGGTGTTTTATTTTTTGCACTTTAAACAAAAAAAAAATAGCAAGAAATTTGGAAAAAAAAGGTTTGTCTTTGTTTCTATTATAAATTTTGCAATCAGGTAATTTTTCTCCTTCACTCATGTGCATTGATGAGGCTGCACTGATAGGCAGTACTGAAAGGTGGCATTGATGGGCACTGATGAGGTGGCATGGATAGGCAGCACTGATAGGAGGCACTGAAGGGCAAATGTGGATGGCATTGATGGGCACAGGTGGATGGCACTGATGGGCACAGGTGGATGGCACTGATAGGCACAGGTGGGTGGCACTGCTGGGTGACACTGATGGGCACAGGTGGGTGGCACTGATGGGTACAGGTGGGCAGCACTGATCATCAGTGCCGATCACTTCTTGCACAATTGCCAATTAGCAGTACTTTCCTCACGTTGTGACAGCGTGAGGAAAGTGCAGCCGATATCCGGCAACTGTATTTACCCGGTGATCTGCTGTGTCATTGGACACTGCTGATCACGTGGTAAAAGGCTGCCGTGATTGGCCGTGTACCGTATTCCGTGATCAGCTGTGTCCGTAGGACACAGCAATCACCGGTGGTACAAGGTGCGCGCCGCTGGAGGCGTGCAGGGGGCGTGTTCTGGAATGACGTCGTCCCAGAACCAGGCAACCACGCTGTAGCCGTCCTTCGACTATAGTGCGATAGGGAACTGGTTAAATGTCTTACACCTAGTACATCATTCTCCACTGCCAAGAGCTACAGTATATAGGAGACCTCACTATTAAAGCCTTTGTTATTCTTCTGATTCAACTGATCATAAAAAGGTAATAATGGACTATGACAGCAATTACTTCTGCTTTTACCATGACCATTGTTGGACATGTGCTTTGGTAAATAAAGCTTGGTTATCATGAACCTGTTTTGAGATCTCTCCACAGGTGCTCTATGGGACTGAGATCTGAACTCATTGCTGGCCAGTTCAGTATTCTCCACGCTTTGTCTGAAACCATTTCTGGGTGCTTTTTGACATGTGCTTTGGGTCATTGCCCTGCTGTAAGACCCATGACTCTGATGGAGACCCAACTTTCTGGGCCCTACATTGCACCCCAGAATTCTTTGGTAGTCTTCAGTTTTCATAATGCCATGCAGTGCCTGATGCAGCAAGCAACCACAAAACATCAGTGAACCTTCACCATGTTTGACTGTAGGGAATGTATTATTTTCTTTAAAGGCCTCATTTCTTATTCTGAAAACAGTAAAATGATGGGCTTTACCAAAAAGATGTAATTTTGTTTAGTCTGTCCACAGCACATTCTCCCAAAAGGATTTTGGCTTCCTCAGGTGAATTTTGAGAAACTCCAATCTGGCTTTTTTATGTTTCTGTGATAGCAGTGGAGTCCTCCTGGGTCCCCTACCATGGCGTCCCTTTCTATTCAGATGACGACATATAGTGCGAGCCAACACAGTTGTACCCTGTGCCTGAAGGTCAGCTTGAATTTATCTGGAAGCTGATTGAGGTTCTTTAGCCACCATTTGAACAATATCCTTTTTTGCAATCTTTGATAAATTTTTCTCTTTCATCCATGTCCAGGGAGATTAGCTACAGTGCCATAGGCTATAAACTTCTTGACAATGTTGCACATAGCAGACACAGAAACATTAAGATCTCTGGAGATGGACTTGAACCCTTGAGATTGTCCATGCTTTTCCACAATTTTGTGTTCTCAAATGCTCGTACAATTCTTTGCTACTGTTTCTCTTCTCCATGTTCCTTGTAGCACACAGAGACACACAACAGAAAGGTTGAGTCAATGTTTTTCATTTTAACTGGTTGCCGATGTGATTTCTGTATTGTCAGCACCTGTTAATTGATACAGGTGAGTTTAATTACAAATTACAGGAGCATCACAAACTTGGAATGCAATTATTTTTTACAATTTTGAGAAGTGGCAATAATTTTGTCCAGTCCATTTTTGGGGTTTTGTGTGGAATGGGTCAGATTTGGCTTTTTGTTTCTCCACTTTTTTGTGTCATACCAATATAAACAAAAGAAATAAACATGAGAATGCCTAAGCATTTGTAATTGCAACACTTTTCTGAGCGAAGTGGTGCGTTATCTGAATGAAATGCAGTGGTGCCAATATTTTTGGACATGACATTATCTTATACAATTAAAGCTTGTGTGAATATAATTGTGTAAATGCTGCAAAAGAATAATTATTGAACTATAATTCTAGAGCTTCCATTAAAAATAAGGGGCCATTTAATACAGAATGTCTGGAGGTCTTTAATCACTTGCCTGCAGGGGACTTTTACCCCCTTCCTGCCCAGGCCAATTTTCACCTTTTAGCGCTGTTTCACTTTAAATGACAATTGAGTGGTCATGCAACACTGTATCCATATTATTTTTTTTTTTTCACAAAAATAGATTTCTTTTGGTGGTATTTAATCCCCACTGGGTTTTTTTTTTTCTTGCGCTATAAACGTTTGTTTAGTTTCGGTTATAACATTTTGTAAATAATCTTTCTACACAAATGTAGGCCAAAATGTATTCTGCTACATGTCACAGCCAGGTGCCCATACTGAAGATGCCAGCGCCAGGTTCACAGGATGGCCAGTGAACCCAGCTGTGGTGAGGACACCACTGGATCCTGAGACAGGCGAGTGTGTTTTTTAAAAGTCAGCAGCTACAGTTTTTATAGCTGCCGACTTTTACTTTTTATATTTTGACTGGAGCTCTGCTTTAATTCTATTAACAGCTTGTGAGTTCCGAATTCAGAGAGAACTTCTGCAGCAGATGGCACTAAAGCAGCCACAGTTGCAAGCAGGTTTGAAACTTGTTAGGTCAGAAGTGTAGGGTATGGAAGCAAACTAATGCCCTGTGTTATGAATCAGCAATCATATAAGCAACTTGGCCCACAAAATCCTGCATGGTTGCAAAGAATTCATACCTGGATAAAGAAGAAGAGGGGGCCACACCTGATAAAGCTATGGAAGACCCAGTAGACCATGTTGACTCAAGTGCAGAGCAATGAACTAGTCTGTCAGTGTCAGATCCTCTAAGAGGCACGCTGCCAGCTGCCCCAGAACTCTTAGTGGATCATGTGCTAAAACCACCCATTGCAGCTGGACTGCTACTTCTGTGCTTAGTATGACATGTTGTACCATTTAATAGGAACATGCTAACCCAATCCAGTCTAGGTCATTATTATGTGTAATGTGGCCTCAAGCTTTGCACCATTCCGCAAGCCATACCTTCTGACATGTTTCGCCCCACCAACTGGGGCTTAGTCACAGAGGGAAAGGGCAAGTCAGGATGGAAGAAATAAATGTAATTTATTTCTCACATTCCTTAACATTCATTTATTCCTTTTTCTCTTCTCACATACTGTCAGTTTTTCTCTCAGTTTCCAACTCTATTTCTCCATTTCTTATCCATTCACTTCATTAATCCAATCACTTGCACATGTTTATCTTTCCACTCTACTTGGTGGAATCATAGCTTTTTTCCCTAGTTCAGACCTGCTCAAGTATTACACAGTATATATATATAATACAGTATCTAGCTGAGACAGCTAGATGCCCTAGTGGTTTAAATTCTTTAGAAGTGTTTGACAGTTGGAGGCAAAAAGTTCTATAAGGATGTTCTTTTAAAACTGCACTGGGCCACCTTATATACAAAAGTATTTCTATAACGATTACACTATCAACTGAAAATTTATTTTTTTATATAATTAAGCTGATAAATTAGTAGAAAAGATGGAAGGTACACCAGGAAACTTCATTAGCCACTTCATTAATATCAGCAAACCATTGCATGAAAACCATATTTCTGTTTGTAGTACAGTCACAAAAAGGTGGCCTGCTTACTTACTTGCCAGAGTCTGAGGATGCAGCACTGTCACATGATCCATTGTATGTGTTTCCTGACTGTCTGTTCCTTGGTCTCAAAACTTTTTAAAATGAAAAAAATAAATATTGAAAAAGCATTGCTCTAATCTACAATGTAAAAAATAATTAAAAAAAAACACCACATACTGTTGTATAACCACAAAAGTATACTAACCAGCCATTTGTGGCTCATCTTTGTCCCCATCACAGTATGCAGCATGCCTCTCGATCTGGGGCTGGGAGAATCTGCAACCACACATTGGGCATTCCACATCAGGCGATAAGGCTGGCTCCCTACAAGCCATCAGTTTGGGAGGAGGGACATTCAGACAACTATCCTGAAATCATAATACAATAAAAAAAAGTTTAAGACAGTCTATGCTTGTGTTAGCATACATTTCCATGCCTTGACATGCATTCTATAAAGGCAACTGATTACTTTGAACAGGTGTTTACCAATCCTCAATACAAGAAACACTTTACATGCACTTATTTTTGCCAGCACAGGGCAAACAAACACACCTAAGGGGCAGATATGTTTGGCCTGAGACAATACAAATCTGCAAAAAATGCAAAATGTCATACAAGTGAGTCCATAAATTTAGTCCCATGAACAAGTAAGACATTCAATAAATATAATTAAACCAGAAAGTTCGATTCAACAGATTAATGAGTGGTTTGAAAGAGACTGCATAGGCAGAGATTGTTCATAATAGATATCTAAAAGTTGCTTTATTCTGTATATTTGATACACCCAAGATACTGGTAACCTTACATGCTGTGGCAGTATGAAAAATTATTCATTGAATGGTTTCCACTTTTACCGTCTAGAATCCACATAAGAACAAGTTTGCAATGACAAGCACAAAATGTATGTTTCAAGATAGCAGTTTATTACAAGCAGTAGTATTATAAATTGTTGACTCCTAGTCTGAAATTGTATCATGCATCCTTTGCACAGTAGAGCAAAAAACAATGCTCTGGCAACAAAACACAAACAAAATGCATTCATTCAGTTCATTTGATCAAACTGAGAACAAAGCTATTGCCTAAATAACTTCTTAGCAGCCACATGCAAAACAAATGGAATAATTGAAACCTGTACTGAGACATATCTGTAACATGCCATTGCTGCAGTCATTATCTCTTTACCGTCCTCCTCTCCTTAACAACCAATACATACTGCATGCCTCAACCACTATTTAAGTACCGTATGCATTTGATTATTTATTTCCTTCTGTGAATTGACTTTAACGTCTCTGCATGCGGATTTTACCAAGCGTTTTTGGTATTTGCAACAAATACTATACTAGCAATCGTGAATTGACATTTTCAGTATCCCATGTGATATGTGGTCATGTGACTGACATAACGCATGCGATAACCTTCAGTGAATTGTGCCTACAAAGGGGTTGATTTACTAAAACTAGAGAGTGCAAAATCTGGTGCAGCTCTGCATAGAAATTAATCAGCTTCAAGGTTTTTTTTTTGGCAAAGCATAATTGGACAAGCTGAAGTTAGAAGCTGATTGGCTACCATGTACAGCTGAACTAGTTTTTGCATTCTTCAGTTTTAGTAAAAAAGGTTGAAGCCTTAGGATCACCATAACAGAGAGACAGAGAAGTTTAAGCTCTCTATTCAGATAGAGAGGTTTACAATGGCAGACCCTAGTACATTTACAGTGGGGAAAATAATGATTTGATCCCCTGCAGATTTTGTAAGTTTGCCCACTTACAAAGAAATGAAGGGTCTATAATTTTTATCATAGGTGTATTTTAAATGGTAGAGACAGAATATCAACCAAAAATCCAGAAAAAAACACATGATGCAAATGTTATAGTTGCATTTCAGTGGTAATCTAAGTATTTGATCCTCAAGCAAAACATGACTTAGTACTCGGTGGAGAAACCCTTGTTGGCAAGCACAGAAGTAAGATGTTTCTTGTAGTTGGTTACCAGGTTTGCAAACATCATCTCAGGAGAGATTCTGGTCCACTCTTCTTTACAGATCTTCTATAAATTCTTAAGGTTTCTTAGCTGTCACTTGGCAACTCAAAGTATCAGCTCCCTCTATAAATTTTCTATAAGATTAAGGTCTGGAGACTAGCTAGGCCACTCCATGACTTTAATGTGCTTCTTCTTGAGCCACTCCTTTGTTGCCTTGGCCGTATGTTTTGGGTCATTGTCATGCTGGAGGACCCATCCACAACCCATCTTCAGTGTTCTGGCTGAAGGAAGAAGGTTGTCTTCCAAGATTTTACAATACATGACCATGTCCATTGGCCCTTCAATGTGGCAAAGTGGGCCTGTACCTTCAGCAGAGAAACAACCCTAAAGCATGTTTCCACCTTCGTGCTTAACTGTAGCGATGGTGTTCTTAAGGTCATAGTCATCATTTTTCTTCCTCTAAAACACAGCAAGTCGAGTTAATGCCAAAGAGCTCAATTTTGATCTCATCTGATTCTCCCAATCCTCCTCTGAATTATTTAGATGTTCATTTGCAAACTTCAGATGGGCCTGTACACGTGCCTTCTTGAAGAGGGGGACCTTGCGAGTGCTGCAAGACTTCAATCCATGGTGGCATATTGTGTTACCAATGGTTTGTTTGGCGACTGTGGTAACATTTGCCTTGAGATCATTCACAAGCTCCTCCTGTGTAGTTCTGGGATGATCCCTCGCTTTTCTCATATTCATCCTTACCCCCACCATGAGGCGAAATCTTGCATGGAGCTCCAGATTAAGGGAGATTGATGGTTATTTTGCAATTCTTCCATTTGCAAAGAATCGCTCCAACAGTTGTCTCCTTCTCACCAAGCTTCTTGCTGATGGTCTTGTAGCCCATTCCAGCCTTGTGCAGGTCTACAATCTTGTCCCTGAGGTCCTTTGACAATTCTTTGGTCTTGCCCATGGTGGTGCCCAAGAAAGATTATGTGGACAGGTGTCTTTTTTTTACACATAACAAATGATTGTTAGGAGCACCTTTTTAAATTGACAGGACTAATCTGTGTACCACATGAGCACATAGCCAGTCTATGGGAGCCAGAATTATTGTTGGTTGGTAGCGGATCAAATACTTATTTTAATCACTAAACTGCAACTCAATTTATAACATTTGTATCGTGTTTTTTCTGGATTTTTGGTTGATATTCTGTCTCTCTCATTTAAAATACACCTATGATAAAAATTACACACCCTTCATTTCTTACAAAATCTGCAGGTGATCAAATAATTATTTTCCCCACTGAACATATTTTCTCAATACAAATTTCCATGACTGATATGGGCAAGGTTTTTCTGGTAAGAGTGGCCTTGGTTAAGGGTCTACTAACATGCAAAATACTGTAATCTAAGAGCTCTATGTGGTAATACCTGTAAGGATACTATTCAGTTTACTCAATCTTTTTTCTTATGTTCCTTATATATATTTTTCTCCACATTTATGCATAGACCAAGCTGGCAAACAGTAGCGACACACTTGGGAAGAACTATTACACTTCCAGGAGTACTTATATTTGCAGCTTAACAAGCATCCCAGGCATTGACAGTTTTACCTTATATTGACATCTTTCCGGATTAGCCTGATTTGCATGTTACAAAGAACATTATAGAGGCATACAAAATTTAAAAAAAATAAATCAATTTACATACTGAAAGACTAAGTCTAGGATTGCATTGTGAGATGAGTGGTTTCCCCACTCCATATAAATGTCAACATTCAGAAACATAGCAATTTGCAAAGTGAACATACTGTGCAAATCAGTAATAAGATTTTTGGGAGCTTATTTTCAAATCCTTCCCCCCTTCCTGAAATGCTGTAGCAAATTTTTAAAAAAAAAAGCCTGCGAGGAAAAAATTTAGTTAATATGCTTACCTTACCCTGGCTCCCCCATTTAGCACTTAGGTGACAGTGATGTTACCATCCTTCCAGCAAGATCCCAGGTAATGCTGTAATGCTGAGAACCCCAAATGTTGCCAGAAGATACCTTCTTGCGAGATCTTGGGTACTTGGCAATGCTCAGCATCTTGTAAAGGAAATAAATTTACTAACCTTTCACCCCACTGGTTTTCTTTTAAATTTCCTAAATGGGTCTATGAAAAACGTGGACTTTACTTGTGCAAAGTCCGCTTTAAAGAGCCATTCAACAAGAAAAAATCTTCCCATAAGATATGCCCATTTAGTGTATGTTAGGCATGTTATTTATCTGTATAAGCCTTTCTTATGTAGCTATCCAAAAGCCTGCTGCTGGCCATCTTAAATGTGATGCTAGCAGCCACTCTATAACATTCCCCTTCACTCTTCCCAAGACAGCTATATGCAGCACTCTTAAACAAACAGATTTAAACAGGGGCTATTACCTAAATTTATTTTTTGTCTGGGTGGTAGTCATCCCAGACTGATTTGTATAGTTATTCACTTGGTCTTTCCCAAAATACATGTAAGGGGGAGAGATGCTGGGTCAGCCAGGCAGCAATTAATTAGACACTCCCCGAAGATGCAAAGGCTATGACATGCAAGGAGGGAGGGTGCTGTACAGGGGAAATGGCACTCCTGCAGTAGTCACATTTTCTAGCAAGTTCAAAAGCACATTACATTCCACATGGGAAAAAAATCATTTATGGAAAGGAAAAACACTGCAAATAAGCATTTCAAATACTTTTTTTTCTGTGTTTTACCTGTTTTAGCTGGTAACAGAGTTTCTTTAAGCTGATCTCTCATTTATTAAAAAAAATGACTATAATTCTCCAAAACCTTACTAAAACTAATGTCATTCTAAAAATGATCTTTGTACAAGACTATTACAGTTTTGGGCATCTTATTGCTGTGCATTTAAGCCAATTCAAGTCCAATAAAAATGAAATTTTGTAAAGCACTATGAAGCACTGGAGAGGCCCCCTTGGATGCCCAGAAGGCTGGGGAAGAGCAGAGACACCTATTTTCGCAACTGTAATGTGAGAAACATTTGCTCACCACTTCACAGTACCAAGTTCTCATCTTTTCAAGGCGTTTATAACACTGCTGTATCTGCTGTAATTTGATTTTCAGCTTGGAAACTGGCTCAATTAGAAAGAAGGTGCCAAAACAATGAATGCTGGTGGATGTTTAAGCAGAGTTTAAGAGGGAAAGCCTTATGTCTATCATTTGCTTTGCTGTACAATATCATAAAGCATACCACACAACACTTTCTTTTTATGTAACCATTCAGATCACAGTAGTCTTATTATTTATTAAAAGGGAGATGTAAAATGCAGTTATTCATAGCAATCAGGAAAAATTATAGGCTACTTATCTTTCTACCCCAGTGAAAACTAAAATCGTATTGGATGGTATTATGTGTGAA